ATGTCCGTGTATAAATCAGGATCATCTGCTGCTTCCTCAACCCCTCGGCCCTCTGCCTCCCCCCACCTTTGCCGACCCCTCTGTCTCCCCTGTCCGGGCTGATCGGGGCCATCGTGCAAATTTTATCTGATGTCAGATTTGCCAATCTCTGCGTCATCCGAATGGACACAATTACCGGACCTTGCGGAAGCTCAGCCCTCAGCTCATTCTCAAATTCGAATGGCTCACCGTTATCACTAGGCTTAGTATCGAGTGTCACCTCTCCAACCAAGTGTTTTACCACTTGGAGTCCTGTCCCAGCAAAACTTGAAAACTTCTTGATGTTTTGACTCGCAGTACCCCCTTTTTCTTAAAGGCAACTCCAACCTCCCTAACCAGTCGATAAATGTCGTGTTACGATCTTCCTCACCTTGGTATCTTCTCATTGCATCTAGGGCATTTTTTAGGGAAACACTACGAAATTGAACAAAAGCCTAATTTCATAAATCGTAAACCCTAATTTCAAAAACCCTCCTGTGTAAATCGGGATCATCCTCTGCTTCCTCAACCCCTCGGCGTCGGCCTAGGCTTCGGCCTCCCCACACCCCTGCCGACCCCCCGTGTCCCATGTCTGTGTATAAATCGAGATCATTCTCTGCTTTCTCAACCATCGGTCTCGGCCTCTGTCTCGCCCCCCACCCCTAAATTTCTTGATGTTTTTACTCGTAGTACCCCCTTTCTCAAAGGCAACTCCAACCTTCCCTAACCAGTCGGTAAATGTCGTGTTACGATCTTCCCCACCCCGATATCTTCTCAGTGCATCAAGGGCATTTTTTACAAAAAGTCTATGAAATTGTAACAAAACCCTAATTTCAAAAATTATAAACCCTAATTTCCAAAATTAAAAAATCTTAATCTCAAAAGTTATACTAACAATGTTCGTGTGTAAATCGGGTTCATCTTCTGCTTCCTCANAAAACTGAAGCACGAAGCACGAAAACTGAAAACTGAAGCTATCGTATTTCGCCCAATTTCATCTCAGAAGCATGAAGTCACGAGAACTAAAAACCCTAATTTCAAAATTCACTATATAAATCGACTATAACATAACGAATTAAACGACTATAACTATATACCAGATTCGAATAATACCTTATATGTCTTCAAGATGAAATTCGCCGCAAGTTAGAACCCTAAATTGTCGAATTTCAGAGATGCAATTGGGTGGTGCAACTCCTCAAACAATCTGAATTTAGAGTGACGGGCTTCAATTTTCATATGAATTTAGGGTGCGGGGCTTCAATTTTGATATGAATTTAGGGTGTGGAGCTTCAATTTTTCGAAGGAAAAGTGACGATCGCGAAAAGAGAGAGAGAAATTATGTTTCTGGTTCAAATTGTATAATATCAAATATAAAGAGGGCATAACGAGAAGTTTACAAAAACATTAACGGGGTTAACACTCAAACATAACTTGGGGAGCGTCAGCTCGTCAACCGTTAATAGAAGGGGGTCCGACGCAATTTTTATATTAGAGGGGGGAAAGGCGCAGATTTAGTATAATACAGGGGGGTTTGGTGCATTAAACCCAACAAAAACA